AGAAGGGCCACAAGGGTGATCAGGGGACTGGAGCACCTCCTGTATGAAGATAGGCTGAAAAAGTTGGGGCTGTTCAGCCTGGAGAAGAGAAGGCTGTGTGGAGACCTCATAGCAGCCTTCCAGTATCTGAAGGGGGCCTATAGGGATGCTGGGGAGGGACTCCTCATTAGGGACCGTGGTGACAGGACAAGGGGTAATGGGTTCAAGCTTAAACAGGGGAAGTTTAGATTGGATATAAAGAGGAAATTCTTTCCTGTTAGGGTGGTGAGGCACTGGAATGGGTTGCCCAGGGAGGTTGTGAATGCTCCATCCCTGGCAGTGTTCAAGACCAGGTTGGACAAGGCCTTGGGTGATGTGGTTTAGTGTGAGGTGGCCCTTCCCATGGCAGGGGGGTTGGAACTAGATGATCTTAAGGTCCTTTCCAACCCTAACTATTCTATGATTCTATGGGGTTTTTTTTTGTTTTTAAATCAGTACCTGATGCTCCAGGTAATCTGGGTTCTGCATAAGAGACTTTTTTGTTGCCAGTTCATAATGGGCTGTGAGATTTCCTAGCTGGCTGTTAAGAAATCAATTTATTGAAGTGAAACGGTTACACAATTGTCTCAAAATGTAGGGACAGCAGAATGAGTTCAGTAGGCAGAATTTCAAATAATTAATTCTCTAAAAGAAAAAAAGGCAAGCTGGAGGGTGTAGTTGTTCCTTTAAACTAACCTCTCCTGGAAAATTCTTTGCATCACCATTCAGCTGATTGACACTGTGTGTTTTATTTAGGAAGATGCATTTCAAGGATCAGTTTGTTAGGTGTCTGCAGTTTTAGTGAAGTGAATGGAGTCCTGTGCAGGGAGCAAGCTCTCAGACCACTGTAGCTCGTGTTATTTCTCAATGCCTACAGAAACGCCTCCATCTTCCTTCTTCTGTGTGCATTACAGAACAAACAGGGAGAGCAAACAAAAAGTACCTTTGACTCTTCAAATATGGGCAGTACTTGTTTGCCATAGGAGCCAGCTCCAAATCACCTAGGGAGATGTAGCACCCAGTTCTTCACAGATCTGCCATAGGCTGCACTGTTACTCTACAAAAGGCCACACTAGATCAGATTTTCTTACTCCATGTCTGTAATTCAAATGGAAAACATTTCATTTGTAAGGAAGATGAATGTTTCCATTTATTTCAGTGGCCTTTAAATCAAGAGCTTGTTGTCTACTTTTCATTCTTCTGAATTCTGCAGACATCAGAAAATATACATGTGTGTTTGTGGACATGTATTCTGTTATGAGAATGTAGATTCATGATGTTATCAAAGGATTAAAATATTAGGTGTCACTGCTATTTCACACGTACATGTCAGAAACTTAAAGGTTATGCATTCTGGAAAGAAAAATACCTACTTCAGTAGAAATATTTCCTTGATTTTCCATTCACTTCTATGAGTTTTACAGTAATGCAACCTTAATGTTTTCACTGGGCTTACTCCTGATTTACCACACTGCAGAAGAAAACAGAATTAGGTCTATATGCTTTTGCAGACTTCCACTGATTTTTGGTAGGTTGCTGATTTAGTTGAAGAGCTGTAATCTCAGAATAATACTGATCAAATGATTATTATCAAAAACATTTCAATTTCTTGAAGACATTTTTCATAACTTATTTGGCTGATTTGTGCTCTGGGTTTCAATCTGCTGTAGACTAATATAAATGATCCATGAAATTTTAAATTGTACTTATTAAAGGCAGTTTTCTTAACTGTCTTTGCACATATATCAAGAGCCTGGTGATAGTAAAACTTGGCTGTGATGTAGTTTTCTGGATGGTCATAAACATATGCTAAATCAAAGGGATTTCGTCTCTCAGATATTTTAGTCTCCTAGAGCACCTGTAGTAAAGATTAGTGTGAATGACTTATAAGCCATATCTACATAAACAGTTTTAAACACCTTCCCATACAATGAATGAACAACTGTCTCCAAGAATATAGCATTAAAATTATTAGAACACGTATTTTTAAAGTATCATACTTTGCATATATTACATTTTCATTTTAATGTTCTTATATGTATGAAATACCCTGTAATTCATATTATATTGGAGGATGAAAGAATCTTACAGATCCTTCATGAGCAGTGCAAAACTTTAGGGAAAAGAAAATCCTACATTAGAATATTTATGTTTCACATCTTAACATTGTTTGGGGGACCTCAGATGTAGGTTAGATAGTTCACAAAGTCAGACCTAAAGAAGCTGACAAGTATCCTTTTAAGATGGCTTTAGTGCACGTCTCAACTAACCTGGCTGACAGGGAACAGTAAGTTGATGGAGTCTGAGTTTCTGCTTCAGCATTTGAGGTGCAATTTCATACTGAGGGGCAGTAAAGAATTCTGTCCTCCATGGTAGAATTCTGTCTCTACCTTCCTTTTGTAGTGATTTTGTAGTGAGGAATGTCCAGCCTTCACTATCCAACACAGAACAATGAAAATTATATGCACAAGTATTTCAACAGCTTGTATAGCAGCAGGCAAATTATGTGTAGGAATGTTTGTTCTCTTGTCCATGTACTTGCTAATTACTTACCAATCCCCACCTTTTAACTATGAAATACTAAATAATGAAGTTTAAAATAGTAGAAGCTTTTACAAAAATTGTGCTTTTATGTAATGTGTGTCTCATATTTCATTGGAAATGAGGTTACACCTAATACATCAAGGCAGGACTTAGAATTTAATCTTTACTCCCACACTGGACATTAACTTGGACTTTGTGTGAATCCAAGGGCATTCATATGTATTTTGAAAAATATTGTCTGGCCAGTTGTATACAATTAACAAAGGAACTGAGTAACTCACCAGAAGTGATGAAAACCCTATCAAATATTTGTACTAACCAACCTTAAACCTCAGCAAGTATAAAAATCCTGTAGTGGAACCTTTCACAAGTATTTTCTAGCACATGGACTAAGCAGGAATGATGAAAATAAGATGTAGTGTATGGCTTAAATGTTGCAGGACCAGTAAGACATATAGGTAATGTGCTAAACAGAAGAAAGTACAATCTCAGAAACCAGAACTTCATATTAAGGTTATGATGAAATAATTTTGTATTGGAGTATCTTCTCATGCTTTTCTAGAAAGGAGTTTGCCTGCATCCTGTTATTAAATATATTCTGTAATGGGTTCTGAATGGAAAATTCTGACGTTTCTTTTTTCCATGAGGTCACTGGTTCTTAATGAATTACATGAACCTTAAAATGTGCTGCCCTTTTTTCAGTGTATAATATCCTGACTTTCTGTGCAAAAACCTGACTAGTCTGATTTAAAAATATTTAGGAGGGTGCCAAAACTGTAATCACTTACAGAGAGCTATGTGAAAGGAAAGGTGAAATCTCCAAAGTAACCCCTGCCTAGACCAGACTATTTGTATCTCTTTGTATGAAAGTTCATCCCTACCTTTGTGCTTGGAAGACTTGTTGACTGAAATGTTTTTCCCTTTGATCTTGTGCGAAAGCATGACACGTCAGATTGGGCCCCCAACAGCATCTCTGCCAGGCCCTGCTCTTGTTTCTGATCTTCCAAGTATGAATTTCAGTTTACTTCTGCTTTCCCATTTAACCAGAGCTCCCAACCACTGTGGAGCACTGTGAGATCTGTGTGCAAAATGAACTATCAGAGTACTTTATGGCTAACTAAATAGATGAACACCTTCTTCAGGATACCTTCTCCAGGAAGAATTCTGTTTATTTCAATAGACTTTGTGCCTGAGGAGGTCCAGCAGGTTATGTTAATGTGAACACTTAATAAATACATATTCCTTGGGGAACCTAATAACCAGATTTTCATACCTATGACTGATGAATGTACCATAGGGCTTGACCTGGCTAAAAGCATTTTAAATATTGGCCATGTGGAATAGTTACAAGCCAACATATGAATCTCTTGGGGCATATTCTTTTTAGATAGGAAGTTCCCAATTGTAAATGGTTTCCCTCCTTTAAGGCACCAGACTTTTAATTCACCCTTTATTGCAAGTGCATCTGGTTAATGTTAAATTAAAACACTCCAGGAAATCTGTACTTTTCACTGTATTTGTTATTTATGTAAATCTTTGGACAGCATCCATTGCTCCAAAATCAAGTTAATTTGAAACATAGAGCAACAGGCGTGAACACAGTCCCAGCAGACCATTCTACGTCTGATGCTGAACTGTTAATCTTTATTATTCTTCTAAGACATTGTCCAGATTTCTATGCTGTGATTCAGATGCTGGATGAAGGCATAGTCTTTTATACTGAATCTCATCTTTTTTTTTTTTTTCTGAAGACCATTCCTATTCTGGAGATTTTAGGCAAACAATGTAAGTCAGGTTGATGTAGAGCTAAATCTGTGCTCTGTTGACTTGGGGCTTTGGCTTATGTCTGCAAGGTTTGGGTAGATTCAGAGGTCAGAGTCCATGTCTAAGGGCGCAGATTCACTGAGACAGACAAAACTGAGATCTAAAGTTGGTGTTTGTATCATAAAGTTTCCCTTAAGTTGTCCACAGTGATGATAGCAAGGGAGGAAGTTTGCAGATGTTAAGTTTCAGGAAAAGAAGCTTTCATGGACACGAGATGTATTTGCAGAGAGGTTTTACTCTGTGACACTGGTTTTGAAACCAGTGTGGGGCTGAGAAGTGTCACATACTAGACTAGCATAACTATCATTGAGTCTCCACTTGCTTAATCAACAATTATAAATAGTAGCAACAAGTAACTGCATGTTTTTACTGGGTGAACACAAAAGTTACCGCAGGACAGCCCAGCCCCCAAAGTGAGACAAAATGAAGGTGTAGCAGAGTGGTTAATTGGCCGCTTCAGGTGCGGGTAATGCTATTTAGCCACAGGTGAAGCTTTATCTGGGAAGCCAGGCTCATGCCCTTGGCCAGGTGTGTTGAAGTGTGGTGTTGCTTTTGGGGAGCTGCAGCTTTCTGGGGAAACAAATCCTTCTTGGTTACCCGAGGATGCAGGTATGTGTATTCAGCAGACTTTAGCACTTCCACTTTGGAGAATGTTTTCTCCAAGTCATCTGGCTGCCTGCCTTCTCTCTCTTGCTCCCTTTTGGTCACAGCTGAATCTTGTTTGCTTGCCTTTTGGCAAATATGGCTGTTCAGCCTGAAAATGCAGAGAGGAGGGTTTCTGTATTTGCTACGTCTGATGAGGGTCTCTGCCTTTGTTTGCAGGCTTTAACAGCCCTTCTGAAATACTAGTCAGCTTTTGAGCCTTATTTCATCATAAGCAGTTGTAATTTTAGGGATCGTTGTATTTCTCTGCAGATTCCATGGACTTTATCAGGCATCTGACTCCTTTATTTTTGCTTGTCTTCTGCAATATGTGCAGTCCAACATCGAGGAGACATCTGTGTTTTCTTGTCAGAAGTGCCCTCAGATAAAAGGTATGCTTTTTGAAAAGTACTCAGTGCCTGGAGTACTTCATTGTTATTTAAAGGCTTAGTCCTAGCTTTTCATAAACTTTTCATTTCATGTAGAACAGGCAGTGGTTGGTTGGTGGTCTGGAATTTGAGAGGAAGCTACAGGCTATTCTTTAAAAATTAAATTCAAGCTATGGAAAGACATAAAATTTTATATAATTTATGTTTCAAAACTGAATTGACTGCTTTCTCTAATATATGTGTATTTCTGCATTTTGCACTCTTAAAGACCTGAAAATTATAATCAAATTTTAATCCTGACAGTACTGACTGTTGTTTTTTTTTTTTGCCAGATGGGGAGATTAATATATTTGAAAGTGTCTTGAAAGAGGTCAGATATGGTTTACATATATGAGAGGGGTTAAGTAAACTGTGTCAAGATTTTCTGCAACATGTTTCACTGAGACTAAATACAACATGTCATCAGGTCTTTATGGGCTAACATTTATAGAAAGCATAAATTACTTTCAAATGAGGGCTGTCTGCTGAGGGTTAGCTGTTAAAAATGTTTACCTCTCTGTTTATAGTTTTCTAAATCTGGGTTGTTAACAAAGGTGCAGGCATCTCCTTTAAATATTACACGTTTCCAAAGAGTTTGACTCAAGCACATCATTCTAATGGATGATTTGCTGCTGACTGTGCTGGCTATTACCATGAGATAAACAGGTGAAACGCTGACTACGTAATTTTAGCTGCTATGATTGTGAATGGGCAACTGCTGAAGTATGCAAGTGTATCTTGTAAGTCTAGATCAAACCAATCTAGTATGAGAATAATTATTAGCCATTAAATGTGTGAATCCCTCAGAAAATGGAGTTATTTCCTACAAAATATTGAGATAAAGGGGTAGATATTTTGTGTGCCCATGAAGATTCAAAATTCACTAAAATCAGTGGGCTTGCTTTCAGTGGGAACAGAATCCTAAGTTAATGTGCAGCAGTAATTCATATAGTAAATATAGACCTAGTCAACTCACCATGACTGTGGTTCAAACCCATGACCCTCCAGTGGCCTCCAAATGGACAGGGAGATTTTTCAGGAACCTAAAAGTTCTAATGCATGTCTTGGATCTGGAGATGCTTGGTCTATTTGGTATGACTCACGTTTTAGGGCATTTTGAAGTATGTTTTCATTTTAATATATGAACTTCAAACCATAGATAAGTTTACTTTTGATGATTTACAGAATTTAGAGAATTTTGGACTATATTTTTTTACTCTTACATGTACCTCAAACTATGAGTAAGTTTGCTTTTAATCACTGTTATTAAAGCTGAGGCAAATTTGTGAGAACATCATTTGATTTAAGTTTTAAGTGTTTCTCTGAGCATCATGCAAAACAAAAACAACTTCTGAAACACACATGCAGGCTGTAATGTATCATTATTTACAGCTATCCTGGGAACTCATTAGTTTCTCATTATATCTTTGGTATAAACATAATTTTCTTTTAAGTAATTAAGCAATGAACTTGTTATCTTGTTTTTTCCATATAATATGCTCAATTGTAATTCTCTTTTGGTAAATGTTACTGTGGAAACATTGCTCTGATTCAAAATCACTAGTTGATAAGAAAAATTAGAGTAACAAGAAATTTGTGGTCCCACAAATCAAATGCTATTTTGTAGCAACATTGGGCAAGGTACTAAGACTATACATTATATATAGCTTCAATAGTAGCCTACACAATTAGGCTGCCCTTTCTCATGGTATGATCAAATCTTTTGATAACATCTAGTCTTCATAGTTCCCCTAGTATAACAAGGGTTAAGAACATACAGCCCAAGTGATCTCTTGGTTTATATAGTTTTGCTTCTGTTTGGTCTCTGCAAGGTATTTTCTGCTCATGTGTTATTGTTAAATCCAGTGACTTTTGTTTGGACTAGATTTTCAGTTCCTGGGCTCTTGAATCTCCTTATTGTAACACCTATATATAAACTGCTTGGACACTAGAAAATGTCAGTAGATTGACATCGCTTAAACTTTTTGTCTTTGATGTAGTGTTCATGTTTCTTCTAACGTTCTAAAACGTCTTCAATAATAAGAAGATGCAGAGTTTGCAAAGCAGGAAAAAATAAAATTAATGGAGGGAAATTTTAAAATATCACACAATGTGTGCCTTTAATTCTGTTATTTTCAGAGGCTGAGAAACAGAAATTTTCCTGGGAAGAGGGAAAATTCAAATTTGTTACAGTTGAAATAGAATCTTTTTTAAAATCTGAACAAAAACTATTTTGGTTTATTTTGGAGCTTTGTAACAAATCACAAAAATGTAATTCTGGATGAAAACCCTGTTTTAATGCATATTTGGTAGATCCCAAAGTTTTGGCCTTAGCTGCCATTTAAGCAGTCATGCTTCCATACTTCCATGCTTCCATTCATGCCAGCAGCCTGCTTTATACCTGCAAAGCTTTATTACTGATTTATATATAGTCTGTTCTGAATGTGGGTACACAGGGAGAGCATCACTCAGGGTTCATAGGAAAAGGTATTTTTCTAGAACAAATCTTGAGGAAGAATAGTGTGCAGATTTCCGTAACTTGGGTGCTAAATTCACAATGCCTTTGCAGTTTTTCTGCAGATATTACAGATTGTGTAGCCCTCCTTGTCACAGCAATGGCTAATGGCTTTCTTCATCTTTTTGCAGAGAACTTGGATTCTGCAGTATTCAGGATGTGGGAATCATTTTAAGGGGCTGTTCTGTTTTTCATGGGCAAATCTGTCATTCTTTTTGTCCCTTTGACACTGCAATAGGAAAAGTAATCCTTAGGAAGATCTCAGATACTGACTAAAGAGTAAACTATTAGATCAGATTATGGCTGACATGAGATATTCACACAGTATCACAGTATCACAGTATGCTGGAGATTGGAAGGGACCTCAAAAGATCATCTAGTCCAATCCCCCTGCCAGAGCAGGAACACCTAGATAACGTTACACAGGAATGTGTCCAGGCGGGCTTTGAATGTCTCCAGGGAAGGAGACTCCACAACCTCCCTGGGCAGCCTGTTCCAGTGTTCCATCACCCTCACTGAGAAGAAGTTCCTTCTCAAGTTTAAGTGGAACCTCTTGTGTTCCAGTTTGCACCCATTACCCCTTGTCCTATCATTGTTTGCCACTGAGTAGAGCCTGGCTCCATCCTCGTGACACTCCCCCTTTATATATTTATAGACACTAATAAGGTCACCCCTCAGTCTCCTCTTCTCTAAACTATTCCCTCAGTCTTTCCTCATAAGGGAGATGCTCCACTCCCTTAATCATCTTGGTTGCCCTTGGACTCTCTCCAGCAGCTCCCTGTCCTTCTTGAACTGAGGGGCCCAGAACTGGACACAATATTCCAGATGGGGTCTCACCAGGGCAGAGTAGAGGGGAAGGAGGACCTCTCTGACCTACTAACCACCGCCCTTCTAATACACCCCAGGATGCCATTGGCCTTCTTAGCCACAAGGGCACAGTGTTGGCTCATGGTCATCCTGTCGTCCACTAGGACCCCCAGGTCCCTCTCCCCTACACTGCTCTCTAGCAGGTCGTTCCCCAACCTATACTGGAACCTGGGGTTGTTCCTGCCCAGATGCAGGACTCTACACTTTCCCTTGTTATATTTCATCCCGTTATTCCCTGCTGCAACTCTCCAGCCTGTCCAGGTCTCGCTGGATGGCAGCACAGCCTTCTGGCGTGTCAGCCACTCCTCCCAGCTTAGTGTCATCAGCAAACTTGCTGATAGTACACTCAATTCCCTCATCTAAATCATTGATGAATATATTAAATAATACCGGTCCCAGTACTGACCCTTGAGGCACTCCACTAGTTACAGGCCTCCAACTAGACTCAGCCCCATAGACTACAACTCTCTGGCTTCTCTCCCTCAGCCAGTTCGCAGTCCACCTCACTACCTGGTCATCCAGTCCACACTTCCTCAATTTAGCCGTGAGGATGCTGTGGGAGACTGTGTCAAAGGCTTTGCTGAAGTCAAGGTAGATCACATCCACCGCTCTGCCATCATCCATCCACCGTGTTATTTCCTCATAAAAGGCTAAGAGATTGGTCAAACATGATTTCCCCCTGGTGAAGCCATGTTGACTGCCCCTCATAACCCTCTTATCCTTGATATGCTTTAAGATGGCACCAAGGACAAGGTGTTCCATCACTTTCCCAGGGATGGAGGTGAGGCTGACCGGTCTATAGTTACCCGGGTCCTCCTTCTTGCCCTTTTTGAAGACCGGAGTGACATTTGCCTTCCTCCAGTCCTCAGGCACCTCTCCCGTTTCCCAGGACTTGGTAAAGATGATGGCGAGTGGTCTAGCAATGACTTCCGCCAGTTCCCTCAGCACCCGCGGGTGCATCCCATCTGGACCCATGGATTTATGGACGTCCAGATTGCTCAACTGATCTCTAACCCATTCCAGTGTGCTATTTCAATAATGTGTGCTTGCTTTGCTTTAAAGGTTTTTATTAAGGTTCCCAGGAGGCCAAACCAACCAGTTGGCTTCACAATGAGCTTTCCAGCTCGATCTGGAGCCTTTAGCTCATGTTACTGTATAGGTTACCTTACGGCTTTCAGACTCCTTTCTGCAGCTCCATTAGCTGGTGGCTAGTGGTGTAACAGAAGCAGCCCATTTCCCCAACTACCTCTTGCATACAAAGGTAGTTGTTCTTTTCTGTCTTTAAAAATACTTCAAAACTGATTACACTCTTTTATATAAGTACAACAAATAACCTAAAAATAGAGCTGTAGCTGGAATGTGAGCTACTTAGCATGGATTAGTGTGTTTATTAAAAATCTAGGGATTTTGGATAGTCTTGTGAGATACACATGACCTTTTCATGATACTCCCCAGAGATACTAGTCATAGCATCCAAAAGCAGCATAAAGTAGTTTGGTCTCAGACAAACAGTATAATTCAGGCCACTTTGAGCCTGCTAATGGGATATGAACACAGTAGTCCTGCTTGAATCGCCTTTCCA